AAGAGCTTTCTGAATGGATGTTTATGTCTTTCATGCTTTACCACTTAATGCTCACCAGCTGGTTTACTTCGTGGATTATAATTGGTTTATTTTATTCTTTAGTTGATGATAAATAAAAGGACAATCGCAGACTCGCAAACAGAAACAGTAACAGGAAACAACGGCGGTCCTGAAAGCTCAACGCACAGCAACAATGAAAACATCTTCACCAATTTGACAACACATACACAGCATTCAGAAACAAGGCTGTGAATACAGACAACACAACCAAATATGCGGCTGTGTAGTACACACTTTCCGTTGTTGCTGTGGTTTGTTTGGACTCGTGAAGTTACTACAGTTGGATATCTGTTGGAAAATGAGCTTAAATAGTGAGTTCATCACTTTTTAATGTCCCTGGAAACCAGTTTCTATTTGTCATCAGTGCTGCTATACAATTGTTTCTGTTATTAGTTAGTTTCTGTACTTTGTTTGTTTTCTGTAGTTGTTTGTTTCTGTATTTGTTTGTTTCTGTAGTTGTTTGTGTGTTTGTGTTTTGTAGTGTTGTTTCTGTTAGTTGTTTGTTTCTGTAGTTTTTGTTTCTGTAGTTGTTTTGTTCGTATTGATTTGGTTCTGTATTTGATTCAGTTTTTGTGTATTTTTTGTGTTTCTTGTTTGTTTGTTTCTGTTAGTTGTTTGTGTTTCTGTGTTTGTTTGTGTTTCTGGTATTTGTGTTGTTCTGTGTTGTTGTGTTCTGTATTTGTTTGTGTTTCTGTATCTGTTTGTGTTTCTGTATCTGTTTGTGTTTCTGTATTGTTTGTGTTTCTGTATTTGTTTGTGTTTCTGTATTTGATTGTGTTTTCTGTATGTGATTGTGTTTCTGTATTTGATTCAGTTTTCTGTGTTTGGTTGTGTTGTTGTGATTCTCTTTGCCACCTCCTCTCCCTGAGGGTTGATCAGCGCAGTATTTAGTTGTGTTTTTTCTGTATTTTCAGTGTGTTTCTATATTTGTTGGTGTTTTGTCTATTTGCATATGTTTTTCTGAGTTAGTATTGACGCCTTAGGGCCACAGTAGGAAAAAACACTCAAATAACACTTTCAAAGAGTCATATTAGAAACCACAAACACGTGACAAGATAACATCTCAGTATCACAAACAAAACCTCCTATTATTCTGAGACACACAGACACAAAAGAGACAGACAGTGCTGGACCTGAATCCCAAACACGGAGAAGACGCCTTACCTCGGGTGCCACAAAGTTGGCGGTGTAACACGGAGTCATGAGCAGGCCGTTCTCTGCTCTCAGCTGTTTGGCGAAACCGAAGTCGCAGATCCTGATGGACTCGGCGTTCCCGCTCTCGTCCACGTAGAGAATGTTACTGGGTTTCAGGTCTCTGTGCACCACCTGCAACCACAACAGAAGAGGCTCAAGTTTAAAGACTTATACAGGTCTGCTCAACCTGCTAAATCCTGTCCTTGTGTTTCCTGGACTTTATTCTATGATGACCCCTCAAGGACCTTGCGACCCCCCCGGGAAGCTTTGGCGACCCTAACGTACCCCCTGTACGTGCAGGTACTCCAAAGTCTTGGTGATGGTGTAGAGCACAGCGCTGGCTTCTCTCTCAGAGAAAAACTTCTGTCGGAGGATTTTGTCCAACAGCTCGCCTCCTTTCATCAGCTCCGTCACCAAGAACACCGACCGGCCGTCGTCGTACACCTACCACAGGAAAATAACACAAACAACGCTTTATTTAGTCGCACAATCATCACTAATGTAACAGCTTCAGATCTGCTGATTCTGGGTTTTACTTCCATCACTGGTAAATAAAACATTATTTATGAATGCAACAGATCAGAAAGTCTGTATAAAGTATAGTAAAGTATAAAGTTAAAGATACAAACTGAACAGAACTGTAGAGATAAGAGAACTAAACTAAAACTAGTATATTATGTACATGACATACCTAACAAACACTTTATTTATAATCTTTAGACAAAGCGCTGAGTCATCTCTAACAGCAGAAACATGAATGCAGATATAATTGTCTTTAGAGTTACTGGAAGTGATTCAAGTGAAGGCATCTTCACCCAGCAGCAAGACGGTATTTTTAACTCTAATTATCAGTGAGTCACAGAAAACTGAAACCAAATTGAAACCATTAGCATCAAAGCAGGGAGATTATTGTTTTGTCCAGCAGCTACACAGACAAATCCACCAGATTCACTCAAGTTTCAGAATAAAAAGAGCTGCTCTGAGAGTGGATTTCCCCTTTGAAGCGGTTTTATTCAGTATTATTGACGGCTGAAAGGGGGAACGGAGGGAACGCTGTTTAAAGCCACTCACATCCTTCAGGGTGATGATGTTGGGATGTTGTCCGTATCTCAGCAGGATCTCCACCTCCTCCGTCGGGTCTCTCTTGGCCTTGTTGATGATCTGTAACAGGGACAAACGGTGACTACAGTGCAGGAGGAGCAGGAGAAGCAGACCGCAGACGTCCCGCCGCAGACCGCAGATGTTTTACCTTGACTGCGTACTCCATGCCGGTCCCTTTGTGTAGGCAGCGCTTACAGATGGAGTAGGACCCGACACCGATGTCCTCTTTGATCTCGTAGGCGTCTGAGAACTGGGACGTGCTTCTGTGCAGCTGCTACATGAAAAGACACAAATGTCGACACAAACATTACTAATAATACTTATTGAATGAGGGATAAAGATGCATCTCACTGCTCTTTACTGAAGGTACAACAGTTTAGTTTTTTACTGAGATATTCAGCAGGGATATAATTTGGATTTATCAGGTGTTTCTGGTAATAATGTCTCTCCTTTTTCCCATAATACCCGGCAGTGTGAGCAGACACCACCTTTTATGGGTACGCAGTGAGCTCTCCACCCTTTGCCTCCAACACTGCTCTACCAGCGGCGTCTGTGCGCAGCTGTCCATTAAAGTTGAGGAAGTTTAGCAGACGTACATTTGCCGGCACAACCACTTAGTCCTCGTCCTTGAAGCCTTTTCTCTTGTAAATGTGTGCATTACAGAAAATCTCTTAAATGACTAGCAGTCCCTTTCATCTGTTCATAAAATATGACTTCACCAAAAGGCGTTTGTCAGGGACGGTTCTCACCCGGTATCTCAGGTACATTCCTTAAAGCTATTTGGTATATATGAGATTTAAAATGTCAATATGTTTATTAATATTTAATGTTTGCTATGTAAAGATATAGTGGAGTCATGGTGTCACACTCCCTCTGTCTGTGTTGCTAATGTGTGAGGTAAAATGACCGTTTTTGTCTCTGGAGTTTGGAGAGCGATAGCGATATTACGGCTATTATCTGGTAAAACTAAAAGGTCTGTCTCTGTAGGGATCCTTTCCATAACGTTTTAAGACAATTAGAATAACAATCTGAGCCTGTCAGTGGGAGAAACAAACACTTTTAGTGGATTTTTATTATTTCCACATCTAACTGTGAATTTATGGTTTATTTTGACCTAACCGACATGGTGATCGTTGGAAATCATGGATACAGAAAACGTCACTGCATGTTTTTGCAGCTAACATGAGGTTTCACTCTATAAATCAGATTATTTTTGCCTCTCCGACACGATAAATTATAGTATGTAAGTGTATGTACCTGAACAATAGTACTGGGTAGTGGTTGTGTGTCCTCTTCTGTTATGGCCACAAAACTGAATCCTCTGAACAGCTGATGGGCGTTGGCACTGGGAGGAACCCCCGGAGAGTCTGAGACACAAACAGAAGCAGCTGTTGAACCTCGCTGCTCAAATAAATCAGATTTTTATTCAACTGCGTGGTGTGTGAGGAGGAGGAGGAGGAGGAGGAGGAGGAGGAG